CATGGATGGAAGCTTTCATCAATAAGAAACATGTTTCCAAGTGGTTCCACACATCATCCTCTGATAATGAAGAAATTGGTGCAACTGACAAAATGAATTTTTGAAGCTAATTTTTTTTTAGAAAATCACTCAGTTTTTCAACAAATAGATAAAAATGTGAGAATGCCAGAAAAGCAAGATATAATTGATTGTAGGTAGGTGTGATGTGAAAATGTTTTCCAGTCTTAAATTTTGAAAATATTGTTATATTCTGTATAACAAACTTTTTCTGAAGTCTCAAAAAGTTTTTTGCAAGCAAGCTTCTACTGCATAGTGTAATCTCATTTGAACTAATTTTAATATTAAAAATTCAATGCTTACAACGAATTTGTTTTTTTCAAGTCTCTGTCCAATAACCACCATCCTATTTCAATTTTTATTTTAAAGAATATGTGTCTATAAAATGAAGCTCTTTTAAGGTTCTATATATGCATGCTTTGTTGTAACAAGATTTCTACTCTATTCAATATCTCATGTTGCATGCATATTCATCATGCAGAGACAACACGAACAGTGATGCTGCAAGATGAGCGAGAACAACAGGTGACAAGACGTAGTGAGCATCACCTCACGGAGCTCCAGGTCCCATTGCAAAGCGAGCAAAGAGCCCCGAATTGGGATGTGCTCATTAGGGTTCTAAGCCCTGTTCCCTTGGCGCAGCGAGCGACATCTATGGACGACACAGCGAGTGTCCGCACTGGGACCACAGCCACCTCCACGCAGGGTGAGCCAAGTGACGAAGAAATACACCAAGAACGGACCTTGCGGAGATTGTTGTCCAAGGAGGACAAGGAAAAGCTGAGGCAAATCATTACTACAGAGTCCACTTTGAGAACGCTGCTCACCGAGGCCACTGTGAAGGAGGACTTTGACAAAATCCGTCATGATCAGAGGTGAGGGTGTGGCGTGGTCGTGTGTAGCTGTAATAAAATTTGTGTATATTTCATAGATAATTTAGATTTTTGCGAAAGTGCGGCTTGGATTTTCCTCCGCTTTCTCGCATTTCGAAATGTCGGATTTGTAATTTACTCAACCGCTGATCGTTTTTGACATGCATATTACCGTACAGTATTGGACAAATGAATTATTGCTTGGGCTATTTCTTTTTTTTTTATTGTGAGAATTGTATTTTCTCACCAGAACAAATAACCTTTTATACAGTCAAACTTCAATTTAGTGCCATTTGTCCTGGCACATTTAGTTGCAGTGTAACCAACTAGGGTGGCAATAAATTGAGGATATTGTATGAGAAGACATTTCAGTTGAGATTGTCTCAATACTGTTGACAAAATAGGCCTCTTTAAAGAATTTTTAGGCCACTTGATCTATTTCATAATAGATAAAGCCATGCGGAATAATTTTATGCTGAAATTTCCTGAAAAATATAACATAAAGATATATGTCTACTTGAAAACATTGAGTTTGTAGGCTTTCAACTTATTACTTGGAACGATACACTTAAAAGCTTCAGGGACAGAAAAAATAACGGTGTCGAGTTAAACGATCCAAGCTATTGTAAGCCAAAAAACGAAGGTTCGCTTCTTTTTTGATCCACACTGTATATACAGTATAGTCACTGCATGATGTTCCATTCTCTGTCTCGGGATAATAACAGGTACATGAAGCTGTTTGAGCCACACAAGTGGGACGTCATCATCCGTGTCCTGAGCCCCCCGGAGGAGCCCGAAGGCGCCGGTGGCGGCAGACGCCAGTCTTCCGCGTCCTCCGCCTCATCCCTGCTCTCCAACGCCAACACCAGCGCCACCCAGGCATCCACATTCGGCGGCCACAACAACGATACAACGTTAATGCGACCTCGCCAAGCCCCATTGCGGGATCCTTTCGGTTATGACGATGTCGACGATGCACATCATCATCATCATTCAGCGGCGACAATGAGACGGCGAATGAGTTACGAAGCGTATGATAATGAAGGCATGGTGATGCTGCACGACGAGGACGAGGAGCCGATACGACCAACAACGATCTGATCGCCGCGAAACGGTTCTGAGCCACGACGCTTAGCATAGGCTTCAGGTCCACAGCGACGGTGGCGACGACACCGACCAGTTAACTACGCGCCCCAAAGCGCCGTCAGGTCGTTCCCTCTGCACGCGTCCGTCACTGAAGAAATGGTAATACTGTACATTACAGTACTGTAGAAATTAATGCGTTATTGTTTTTCTCGCGATTTTGTACGAGTATTTTTACTGTAATTCATGGAAGCTTTCATTGGAATATCTGCAGTCAATCTAGGTGTCGCCCGAATTATCGACTGTAGAGTTGATTCGGGACGTTTAATAATAAATGAAACGTCGACTCGGATACCCTAACAGTAACCGATTGGTTATTGCAGCTCAAGTTTCTGCTCAATGGGGGGATATTCTGCTATGAAGGATTTTGTTGAAGTGAATTATTGGTCGTAACGAGATATTCCTATGGTGGATTGACGGGAAGGGAAACTTTTTTCGTGGCAAATTTTTAGTTGAGAAGTTCAGATTCCAAACTGTCTTTCCCAGTAGGGGCTCGTGTTACTTCAGAGTAGATATGGTAAATCTCTCATCTTACTCATTGCTCAGTGAAATGAAAAGTATAGACTTACAGGAATTGTCCCAAATTAATGCTGCGCATAATAGAACATACTATGGTGCGACCTTGAGCAACGCACATAATACTGAACATTGAATGGATAGTAACCCTTGGAAAATCTTTCAATTGGTTTCAATGAAAAGATGGAAAATCTTTCAATTGTATTTAAATTTCAAGTTGTATTTATTTCAAGTTGTATTTAAAAAAAACCATTGAGAAGATAATATAAGGAAAATGAGCAAAAAATTCGAAAAGAGGCAAGAATTCAAATGATAAACTATGAATTTTTAGGGTTTAATAAAGAATTATTAAAACCATGCAAAATTAGAGGTTAAAAAAAATTCGAATTTCCTCAAGATTTTAATTTCCCTTTTTGGACCAAATTCAAAATTTTGATTTTTGTTTCTCATTTGGGAGTACAGTATATATGTCCTGAAATTTTGTAACTCTCGATTTTCTCTCTAAGTCAAATACCTTCCAAAGTCAAATTTTTTTTGAGTCCCTGTCTGAATTTCTTTAGAAATAATGCATTAAAAACCTCCCTATCTCAAACCTTCTTAAAAACCCCCGTCATTAAAAACCTCCCTAAATACTTACTCTGAATAATGAGTGAACACTATAGCACTTGATGTTAACCAAATTTTTCTAAAGCACAGATTTGTAAGGGTGGATGTTCCAAAAAAGCTTAAAATTTTTCAGAATCAGTAGGGTTTCTCAAGCATGTACAAACCCCTTTTAACATGAGTTTTGTTGGGTTCATTTTTGTTTATCTCCCCCAGATCTTTCCTTGCCCAAGAATATATTTTTGAAAGAGGGGATCTTCAGGTGAATTGTAAAGAATTTTAGTCCTTGATTCCACCCTATTTCCCAAGAACCAGTTGCAGTCACATTTTGAATGGGCAATTTGAGACTGTGCCTGCTTTAGTTGGGTATTTCTCATTAGGAAATCAAACCACATTCCTCAAAAAAGTTTTTTATACTGGAATTGGCTAGTTTGTTGGAACAAGATTCTTTGATCATATACCCTCTTGGATTGCTGCCAGAACCTCGAAAAAGTTTGTCATATTGACAAATTTGTTGTAACTGTATTTGTTGTAACAAGATTTGACTGCATACTGAAAAAAACTTTTTACAATATGAAAAAAACTTCATGTCAAAAGCATCATTTGGGACTTTTGGGAGATGATGTATTTTCTTCAAAAAGTGTTGAGAAATGTTAGAAATACGCGCTGAATTACTTTTGGGCCAAGCATTTTTCAAATGCAGTAATGAATGAATGAATGAAGAGAACACTTTATTTGCCGCTTTTCAGCGTTCACAAGGTTCAATCAAGATTTTCTCAACCAAACCCACTTCCTACCCAACCCAAATCCACTCAATGACATTTAATCACTTCAGAGCAGGAAACAGAGCACAAATTGACAACAAAAATGAAAGGAAATACAATTCATGAAATACAACTGGACATCTGACATGTATGCATACACACCCATTCATTCCCTGGAATTAGAAACAAAATATATGTAAAAATTGATTTAAAGCACAAGGTCTTCAGCTTGTTTCTGTATGAGGTTTAGTTGAATGAACAAATTAGAGAGAATCTTTGATGAGAAATCATATGATGAAAACAGTTTATCTTGATCCTTTTAAGAGTTCAGAAAGGGTCTCTTCCTTGAATTCCAATACTTGTAAATCTTTCTTAAGCTTGTTTCTATCAGAATGAAATGCTGGACATATAAGAAGAGAAGGTGCTCTGGTGATGTGAGGTGCTCAGTAATGAAGTGCAGTGTATAAATTCCAAATTTTTCTTTCGTCATTCCCAAAATGACAGGTGAATGATCATCATCGCATGATGCGTGCCACCGACTCGCAGAGCGAAACGACGTCCGGCATCGGTCCCGCCATGAGCAGCAGCCGCAGCGGACGCCACGTGGCCCGCAGCATGGCCGAGCGGTCCACGTCCGAGTACACCGAGCTGGCCCAGCGTCGCGAGTTCTACGTCGTCGACGACACGGACGGTGCGAGCAGCAAAAGCCGCGCTTTGCCGTCGGACTTCGAAGACGACGTCGAAGAGGAAGAAGGCGACGATGAAGAAGAAAACAACTCGTCTTGGGACGATCATCAACACCATCATCATCATCAGCAGCAGCAGCAGCAGCAACGAAATGGCCACCATCATCGTCAGCACCGACAGAGCAGTTACGCCGTCATGTCGGACGATCGACGCCAGCAGCAGCAGCACGTGACGTCGATGATGGCGGCGTCGACGATGGCGACCAGCAGCAGCAGCCGTCACCACCACCATCAACAATGGCAGAATCAGCTGACGGAGGATGATGATGGGCCAGAGGGCCCGTTGGCTGGCCTGGAGCACCGCATCATGGCTGCCCAGCAGCAGCAGCAGCGACGCGACGGAGTTTGAGAGACGGAGGTTGTTCACCACCGCCGTCGTCGTCGTCGTCTTTTGCCCTAAGCATGGCAGCTAACCTGAAAGGAATTCTGGTCTAACAAGGAAATCACTAGTGCTTTTTTTTTGTGATTGCGCTAAAGCTTGTACAGCAGGTTTTGAGAGACAGAGAGGCTCTTCATTCCCCCTTGTCTTTTCTGGTCCAGTAGTTTTTGTTGTTCTTCAAAAAATTGGCTTCTTATCCGGTTTTTTTCTTGATCTTCGAAGCTCATTTCTTCAGCTGTGGACTACTGCGAAAATTATTTCTGATTTTTGCAGAACTGCATGAAAATTAAAAAAAAATATGACTGCTTTCTGATGACTCAAAACTGAAATTTGAGAAAATGACCAGCGATCTTATTGTACTGCTGGGTTTCCTCATGAATCTGACAAATCTTATCCAACATTTTACTTTGAAATGAAGTAAGTTTTTGTTTCTAGAGCATGTTCCTCAGTAGTGTTCCAGCTAAAAATTTTAGATTTCTCTATAATTCAAGTTGAAGTATGGAAGAATGACTGTGTATACTGATCAGCAAAATCAAGGCTGAAATTTACCATGAATCTCTCAATTCCTGCAAAACTGATCAGTTTCTCACCTTTAAGCATCATATGAAGTGTTTTCTAATGAAAAATACGTCATGAGAAATATTTTCGATGAAATTTATATTGAGGAACTGCGATCTGAGTTTATTATCAAACACCTATAATAATTATCTCGAGTTGGTCTGAAATGCGAAACGATGAGTTTGGCTCAATTTTTTTTCTGCACTACTGAGGAATGAATTATTTTTCCATGTGCATCCATTATTGTTCCATTTGCACAACTCGCTAAATTAATTATTTTGCTCTTTTTGTGGTCAAACTTTGAGGTGAACTTGAATTGTTTCAAATAAAGAGTTACCGGAATTCGCTGCTACTTTTTAAAATTTATAGATTAAATTTTTATCAGTTCATGAAGACAAAATTTAGTTATAATTACTGTATTTCAGAATTCTTTTTGGATTTTATATAACCTGGAACCATCTCGGATTTTTTTTCCTTTCTTTTTTTTTGAAAACCCGAGTGAAGAAGAAATTGAAAAAGTGTGTCTGTTATTACCTGCTCTTGTTCATGAGAGATTTTACAAGAAATTACCGTGAGGACAACAAAATTTGAGTCATGTGGTGTTTTGGATGGTGCTGTTCCACTAAAAATCGTGGATGTCCCACGTTGCAAGAGCGGGAAAAAGAAGGCTTTTCTTTATTTTGCTGTTGCCTATATTTTGTTTACGATGCGTGAATGTCAGTTACTGACGTTTAGAAGTGCTTTGTCCTTTGAATGACATGCGAAATTAATCCAGTTCTTTGTCAGTTGTATACATTTTTGTGAAATGAAAATATAATACGTTTTGGAAAGTTTTGTTTTCATGCAGTGAGAGCATATGAACATAAACTGTATCGCGCCCAAATTTTAGAATTTATCTGAATGTTGAAAATAATTTTCCACTCCGACGTTTAGGATTTGAGTGTGAAATTATGCAATTGCTTCTTGAAATGCTAGAAGAAGTAACATTTCGTTTTGGAATCTGGGAAAGACTTTGATTGTATATGAAATAAAGCAGAAAATATGTTGGACACAGATGAATCTTGTCACAGCAGATCTTGCAATAATAAATTACAACAATGTCATGTTTCATATCCCTGACCAGTATATAGGTAAACTGTTAGCACATTTCTTATATAACAAAAATGTATGTACTCTAGTTATTTTACTGGTTTTGCTGTAATGGAATTTCACTTTATGGAATAACAAACAAGAAAATGAATAAGTTTGAATCAATTGAAGTAATTAACCCTTGTGCAGCAAAGTTGGGATATTTTTGTCAACTTTTGTGCCACTGGGCACTGGGAATAAAAAAAACCTACTTTCTTACGAAGGGCTAAGTCTGGGATAAGTCTCAGATATTTTCTAATCCTG